AATTAATTGCCAGCGGGGTAAGAAAAATAATCTTAATGAAAATGGAAACAAGATTATATTTCTTACCAGACCCCTTTCATGTTCATCATGCAGACACGGTAAATGTGACAAAAATGGCATGTCTTTTTATAAGGGATCCTGTAGGCTGCATTCATTAGCGGGGAATTACATTTACATCAGGAGAGGATTTAATTGAATTTGATCTAATTTATTTATTTTGCCATATCCACATGCATATTTACTTGAACGGTACCGCATTTTGGCATTCACTTGATAACATCTTGTTGCAACCTCTAAGTAACCTAATAATTAGAATTTCCTTTAGGATTTCCAGTGTGGTTGGAAGCATTGATTACACACATATTCTCACCATCGCACCTTCTGAAAATGAAGCTGATTAGGCTACTGTATGGAATGGAAGGATGCCAGATGGAAGGGTAGTGCAAGATTTATGCCGTAACCACCACCACAGCTGTTAAAGGGGTCATATGATGCGATTTCAATTTTTCTCTTTGGAGTGTTACAAGCTCTTGGTGCATAAAGAAGATCTGTAAAGTTGTAAGGGTAGTGCAAGATATATGCCGTAACCACCACCACAGCTGTTAAATAAACACAAATTATTCACAATTTATTTGGTCATCTTTATGTTCTACAAATACAAAAGCAACTAATTATTATTTTCCCTGTTGGATTTTAATATTGGTATTGTGGCAATTTCCTCTTCATCTGTCAGTGATGCTGGTGCAGGAGCTCCCCCCATTTTACGAGTCTCTGCCTTCTTGCTGTTGGCTTCTGAATAGAAGTCAAATGTTTTTTCATTACCCTAATTAAGAAGTATATTTCATTTATAAAAAGAAATAGCATGTTGGATTAGAGAACATTTAATTATGTGAAAAAGCATTAGACCATGTGGAAAAAGCTGCTGCACATTGAAATAGATATACATTGAATGATATTTATTGAATGTCAAATATTTGTAAAGTCATGTAACATTAGCCTACACCCATTTTACGCTTGAAGCTTTACCTGATTGAATTATGTTTTTATGTTAAAATTTTTTTCTGCTGCCATATTTTTTTTTCTTTTCTTTTCTTTTTTTTTTGCCAGTGGGATACCATGAAAATGAATATTAGTTAAATAAATTACCTTTCTGCCAGTTTTCACCTCTGATAACATTGATTTAGAATTAAAGTTACGTATTCTGTAGTATGCGGAAGTCTTTTTGGCGGGAGCTGTTGCCATGGTGAATCGTAATTTCGGAGCTCCATTGATCATGGCTTTTCATAGTCGTGGTGCACGCGTTAAACTCAGAGTCAACATACTCAGAGTGGATTGAACTAACTCTGATCAGCTGTTCAGAAACCGAAAACTCAGAGTTTCCAATCTCAGAGTAAGTCAACTCAGAGTTCAAGTTTTAACTTCGAGTTTGTTCAACCTCCTTTCTGAAATACACCCTTGAACACCTCGATTAGCTGGTTCAGGATTGTTTGATTAGAGTTAGAGCTGAACTCTGCAGTATGGTAGCTCTCCAGGAGCAAGGATGGAAACACCTGTTAAAGACATTTGTTGATACAGCATTTTACTACAAAACACAAAATGGTCAACGCCCCCCCCCAAAAAAAAAAATTCTAAATGGTCTATGCTCAAGCCAATAAAGGAAAACTGGGTACCATTCGATTTGGTATGCCGCTCCGAATCTAACAATCAATCTTATGATTTTTACTAACTGTTCAGAAATTATAAGCAAAAATTATATTTTTTTTATATCTTTTATCTTTTATATCTATTATATATTTTTTTATATCTTTTGATCAGTAGGCGCTGTGCCGAAACTACTCGTGTGCCCTCAGGTCATACCTGGTATAACACATACCAAGTTTGGTTAGAATTTGCTAAAGTGTTGTCGAGATATAGCCCCATGTCCGTTTTTGTGTGAACTTGTCAAATTTGTTAACATGCTTTACGAAAACGGTTTGGTCTATTGAAAATCTTTTGATATTTTTTTACCAGCATGGTCTGAAGATGATCTGAGACAATTTTGGTGAAAATCAGACAAACCGCTTAGGAAGGGTTTGGAAAAAGTAAATATTTCAGAAAATTCTAAATTGAATAAAATCTTGATCAGTAAACATTTAAATTATGGTCTTGATGGTCAAATCTTGATTTGGCATGAGCCAAAGAATCAGAGGAAGAAATCTTTATAAAATAATCTTCTTTCTAGCCCTTGCAGTTCGTAAGTTATTAGCAGAAACATGAGTGCAAATTTAACCTGTTGGTGTTGCTAGGGAGTTTGATTCTTTCTGTCCTTCGGATGATACATTAAACCGAGGTCCTGACTCTCTATGGTCATTAAAAATTCCTGGATGTCCTTCGAAAAAGAGTAGGGGTATAACCCCGGCATCCTGGCCAAATTTGCCCATTGGCCTCTGACCATCATGGCCTCCTAATCATCCCCATACACTGATTGGCTTCATCACTCTGTCTCCTCTCCACCAATAAGCTGGTGTGTGGTGGGTGTTCTGGCGCACTATGGCTGCCGTTGCATCATCCAGGTGGATGCTGCACACTGGTGGTGGTTAAGGAGATTCCCCCGCTTTCATGTAAAGCGCTTTGAGTACCCAGAAAAGCACTATATAAATGTAACAAATTATTATTATTATTTTAAGATACATTTAGTAAAAATGGTTGAAAAATCATAAAAACAATCATTAGTAAGATAATTTATTGGTTTATCACTTTTGACCAATATGTGACGCTGTTACCAAATTGATGTGGTGTTGTCAGAGTGAGGTGACTATGACACACAAAGTTTGGTGTTAATATGTCATAGCTTTGCACAGATACAGCCTCAGATGCAGTTTGGCATCATGCCATCAAATAAACAAAAACCGTTTTGTCCATCAGCACAAGATCCATGACTTTTTACCGACATGGTCTGAAGATGAGTCGAATTTGGGGAAAATCAGGCCAATCATCTAGGAAGAGTTTGAATAAGTGGGTTTTCTAATTCTAAATGGCGAACAGGAAGTTTTGCCGATTATAGGATAATTCATATCGATGTTCTCTGCATGATCCATGGAATCTATCAAGACCAGTCTCATGATAATAGGCAAAACGAATAAAAAGCTATTAGCATTTTTTTTTAAAAATTTTGTAATGATACACCAATGCATTCGGGAAATTTCAAAATGGCTGACGTCCAAAATGGCTCACGTGGGAAAATTGGGTATCGTTCAACTCGGTGTCACACCAAATCTAAAGAGACTAGACTTGTGATTTTTGGCCAAACAGTTCAGATGTTAAAAGCAAAAATATATATTTTTTTATATATCCTGCTGAAAGAGTGCAGGTACCCTCAGGTCATGTTTGTTATAACACACATTAAGTTTGGTTTGAATACGCTAAAGAATTGGAGATATAGCCTCACAATCATTTTGGCATGGAATTCGTTCACGCTTTGTTTGAGAATGGTTTGACTTGATGTCCATAACTTTTTACCAGCATGGTCTGAATTTTGGTGAAAATCACACAAACCGTCTAGGACGAGTTCGAAAAAGATGTTTTTTTTTTTTAAATCTAAATGGTTGAAAAATTTTCATGACGGATAATGACGTCACTGGGTACAATCAAATCATCTTGAGGCAAGGAATCAGAGGGGAAAATACCCTTACGGCTCAGAAGTTATAAGCATAAACATGAGTATAAATTTGAACTATTGGTGGCACTAGAGGGTTTGAGTTAGAGACTCCAAATTTGCTGTGGGTATGGTTCGGACTGTCATCTATCTGTGTGCTAAATTTGATAACTTTCCCACAAGTGGTTCTATGGGCTGCCATAGAAGAAGTAGAAGAAGAAGTATATGAAAAAGGAGAAAAAGAATACTAACAGATACAATAGGTTCCCTCTAATAATTCTGAAGTACCATTATTGCCGATGCGTTGCGTCTTCTTTGTGTTGTTATCTATGGGAGCCCCATAAGTCTGCACCCATACAAGAGGGTCTACAATTGAGCTGAGCTTCTCTTTGTCAGGTTTAGGCAGCTGCTGGGCTGAAATCACCTGAAACAAGACAAAAATATGAGCATGTATGGCAATAAAAATGGTAAAAATATGGAAATGGATGCTGCCACAATGTTATTGAAATGTACTTAAATATCAGATTGTTTTCCACCAAAAAAGACTGAAGCACTTGGAAAATGACCAGTGAGCCCATGTAGTTGTTGTCACACTCTTTGACTAAAGTGAATGATGATGTTTGCTCACACTCTTTGTTTAAAGGGGAAGTTGTGGCCTAATGGTTAGAGAGTTGGACTCGTAACCCAAAGGTTGCGAGTTCGAGTCTCAGGTCCTGCAGGAAGGTGGGGGGTGTGAATGTACAGTGCTCTCTTCCACCTTCAATACCACGATTGAGGTGCCCTTGAGCAAGGCACCGAACCCCCAACTGCTCCCCGGGCGCCGCAGCATAAATGGCTGCCCACTGCTCCGGGTGTGTGTTCACTGCTGTGTGTGTGCACTTAGGACGGGTTAAATGCAGAGCACTAATTCCTAGTATGGGTACCATACTTGGCCACATGTCACGTCACTTTCACACTTTTTCTCCTACAGTGCACAGCATAATGAGTACATCCCCTCTGAAACTTAACAAATTCAGCAATTACTCTTTACTCAGAAGACATGTTAGGGTTCTTTAGAGATACAGTATTTTCCAGCATGTCTGCTTGATCATTTACCAAACAAGCAAGTCAAAATTATTCAGGAAAAAAAAAAAAAAAATTTCTTATCAAAGTGATAAAATGTGTTGCAAAAACATAGCAAAAGTAACACATACATTCAAAAACAATGGACTTGTGACAAGGCCCCTGAAACAAGAAGGCCTTCACTTTAAGCTTTCATTTAGTGATGAATGATTTTTTTGCTAGAAAAAGAGCAGGAGAAATATCAAGCAAGTGTCTCAGAGCCAGCAAAAGCTATGAAAAGAGTGTTTATCTAACAGTATTTTAGCCAAATCTTTAAAAACATTAATTCTCGCATACCTTAAACTAAACTTTTTTTTGTAAAATTCTGTTGAACAATAAGTATAATGCCAATTTCTGAATATATTAGCCTACTGTATCATATTTAATATGCACATTTCTAGGGCCTATAAATTATCAATATGACCAAAACTTTGTTAAAAAACCTGTTGTACACAATCTACTTCATGTCTTCTGTCCTCTGTGTCACAGTCGTGGACTTCTTTTGTTGTGTTTTCATTTAGTTTCTGTTGTCCTTTGATTAGTTCATTCAGTTCACCTGTGTTTGATTAGTTATCATCCTCACCTGCCTGTCTCTCGTTATCTCACCCTACTTAAATTCCCCTTTCTGTTCAGTTAGCTGCCGGTTATTAGTTGTGTATGCTGCTTGTGTTACCCTGTGTTTTGTACGAATCTTCATCATCTTGGATTACTATTAAATGTTATTTGGATTACCTTCGTCTTCGTGCGCCTTCCTTCAACAAGAGCATGACAAAATAACCGGCCCAACAAAGAGTTAAGTGCCACATTTCCCCTCATTTGTTTTCTTGTTTTTGAAAGTCTTTTATGTTTTGTTTATGGATCGCCCCGAATTCCTCCTCCTCCTGCTGGAGCAGGGGGAACTTGCCCTCGAGGACCACACCAGACTATTTCTGGACATTGCCAACAATACCAGCTACCCGGACAACGTGCTCTGCTCGTTCTACATAGCGAGCCTCAACACCGCGCGCAGAGCGCAGTTGTCCAAAGACGGTCCTCGAGGGGATTTCACCGCCTTCGTGGAGTGGGTGCAGGCGAGCTGCAACTCACCACTGACTCCTTATTACGTCGATGAGGATCTCGCCCAGCCCCACTCCGGACCCAGAGCCCAGCCAACCATCACCCCGCTACACAGAGCGCTTGCCCGAGCCCACCGTGGACGGAGAGCCTAAGCCCGCCGCGATCGACGAGCCATCGCCACCAGGAGCGACAGAGCTGAGAGTCGCCCCAGAGCAAGAGCCTCATGAATCATCTGACCAGGTGCGAGAGCCGGCAACGATGGATGATACAGTGGAGAGCGAGGGCATGGAGGAAAGCCCCGCCCACTGCTCCACCGCTGAGGGTGAGCTTAAGCAGGACTTATTCGGAACTACCCAGTCTTCTTCCATCATCATCTGAAATCTCTGCCTGTCCTGTTATGGCCAATGAGGCCGTTTTTTAACTGTTTGTCTGCCCTGAACAGTCTGTCTGCCCGAACTGTTTGTCTGCCCTGAACTGTCTATCTGCCCTGAACTGTCTGTCTGTCCTGAACTATATCTGTCTGTCCTGTCTCGACCATGTAGGTCGTTCCCCTATCTCTGGCGCTCCCAGTGCTGGGAGTGGCCATCTGGTGTTTGTGGGCAGCACACACCATCCCTGAACCCACGGACTGCTCAAAACTCCCACCCAGCCTCTCTCTCCCACCACCTCTTCATCAGTCCTCACCACCACCTCCGCTGTCTCCTGTCAGCCCCTCAGCTCACCCTCAGCCCACCATCTGTGATGTGGGATTGCTGCGGGTCTGCCAGTCTCCATCGGCGTAGTGGCTGGAGGATCCCTTATCTCCACCTCCAGCCTCTGAGTCCCAGACTCCGCCTCGGCCCGTTGACCTAGTGGCTCCACCATGGCTCATAATCCCTAGCTCTCTCCTCTCCGCCGTGGCCCGTCAGTCCACCAGCTCCGCCGGGCTCCCTCGTCCCTCCGGCTCCACCTTGGTCAGTTGTCGACCCGCCATCGCCTCAGGACTTCAATCCTCTGGCTGCGCTTCGTCGATCCGTCCCACCGGCTCCGTTGGGCTCTTCCCTCCATCCAGCTCCAACTTGGTCCTCTGTCGCTCCGGCTCCACCGCAGCCTTCCGGATCCCCGCCTATGCCTCGGTTGCCTGAGCCATCTGCTCCGCCTTGGCCCTCTGGATCCTCCCCGTCGCCCTGGATCGTCGGCTCTCCGTCTCTGCCTCGGGCTCCTCTCCCACCTGCTCTGCCACTGACGGTCGGCCCCCTGGAGTCATCTGCCATTCCTTCACCATGGCTCCTCCCTCCATCGACTCCACCGTAGGCCATCATATTGGCTGTGGTCTGGGTCCCGCCTGGGTCCTCCTACTAAGTCCCTCCTGTCTCCAACCTGGCTCCTCCCTCCGTCTGATCCGCCCTGGCTCCTTCTGGCTCCTCCCTCCGTCTGATCAGTCCTGGCTCCTCCTGTCTCCATCCTGGCTCCTCCTTCCATCTGATCCTTCATGGTTCCTCCCTCCGTCGTCGCCACCTTGGTCATCCACTTGCCTGCCTTCCTGCTTGCCCTTCGCCATCCCCTGTTACCTTCCCAACTCCACCCCTTTGTCCTCCTCCTTAGTCCCCTCCATCCCTCCTTTGTTGTTTTTGTTACGGCGCAAAGTCGCACCTGGCCGGAAGGGGAAGTACTGTCACAGTCATGGACTTATTTTGTTGTGTTTTCATTTAGTTTCTGTTGTCCTTTGATTAGTTTATTCAGTTCACCTGTGTTTGATTAGTTATCACCCTCACTTGTCTGTCCCTCGTTATCTCACCCTACTTAAGTTCCCCTTTCAGTTCAGTTAGCTGCCGGTTTTTAGTTGTGTATGCTGCTTGTGTTACCCTGTGTTTTGTACGAATATTCATCTTGGATTACTGTGAAATGTTATTTGGATTACCTTCATCTTCGTGCACCTTCCTTCAACAAGAGCGTGACACTTTACTTGATTTAAAAAAAAGCATGAACTATCAATCAAAGTCTTTTTTTGCTCATAAATCTTTATACAAATCATTAAAGTAAATGTAAGATTAACATTTACTGGACTGAAGCAACTTTACTTGATTATTCATACATCATTTTTAATGTAAAAAAATAAAACATTTTTTTCATGTTAATGTAAATGTGACACAACAGGCTTTTGGGGAACATTTATTTGTCCATCTCTCAATTATCATCAATTTGCAATGAATTGCATATATGAGATATAAAAGCCTGATGTATAAATATGATACTCAACAAAAAAAAACACATATGCATATATTTGCATGTTTGTTGTTGAGTATCATATTTCATACACACACACACACACACACACACAGGCTTTTATGGCTCATACATTGTGTGCAGAATTATTAGGCAAGTGAGTATTTTGACCATATCATCATTTGTATGCATATTTTCCAACTCCAAGCTGTATAAACTCAAATGCATATTGGATTTAAGCATATTCTATTTGTGGTGATGTGTATTTGTGTAATGAGGGAGGGTGTGGCCTAAGGAGATCAACACCCTATATCTGTAATGTGGTGTTTGGTTTTTTTTGTGTGTCATGTTCTCATGTCTTTCATTTTGGAATTATTTCATGCTGTTAGTGTCATGCTTCCCTTGCCCTCTTGTCTTCATGCCATTGGTTCCTCTGTTTTTTGTGTTATGTTCTGATTGGTTGTTTTAGTCATGTGTCTTGTTTCCCATTGGTTTGTTCTTGTCATGTGACCCTCTTGTTTGCTATAAGTAGCCATCATGTTCCCATAGTCTTCGTCGTGTATTGAAGTTGTAACCCGCTGTCGGTGAGTCTAGTCTGTTCATGCCACGTCAAGTCTGTTCATGTCAAGTCTGTTCATGCCTCGTCAAGTCAAATCTGTTCATGTCAAGTCAAGTTTGTGTATCTTGTTTGGATATTGTTTGGATGTTTGGATCACGTCTGTAAATAAACTGCACATGGGTTCTTCACTACTCTCGCCTTCAGTGGATGATTCGTTACAGCACATGGGTTCTTCACTACCCTCGCCTTCAGTGGATGATTCGTTACAATATCAAGGCGTGCATAATTATTAGGCAGCTTCTTTTCCTCAGGCAAATTGGGCCAAAAAAAAGTCAAAAATTTAAAAAAGTATTTCAGAGGGATGCAGCACTCTTGAAATTGCTAAGAAATTGGGGCGTGATCACAGAACCATCAAACGTTTTGTTGCAAATAGTCAACAAGGTCACAAGAAACGTGTTGAGAAAAAAAGATGCAAATTAACTGCCAAAGATTTGAGAAGAATCAAACGTGAAGTTACCAGGAACCCATTATCCTCCAGTGCTGTCATATTCCAGAACTGCAACCTACCTGGAGTGCCCAGAAGTACAAGGTGTTCAGTGCTCAGAGACATGGCCAAGGTAAAGAAGGCTGAAACCCGACCACCACTAAACAAGACACATAAGTTGAAACGTCAAGACTGGGCCAAGAAATATCTGAAGACAGATTTTTCAAAGGTTATATGGCTGATGAGATGAGAGTGACTCTTGACGGACCAGATGGACGAGACCATGGCTGGATCAGTAAGGGTCACAGAGCTCCACTTCAACTCAGACGCCAGCAAGGTGGAAGTGGGGTACTGGTATGGGCTGGTATTATTAAAGATGAGCAAGTTGGACCTTTTTGGGTTGAAGATGGACTCAAAATCAACTCCCAAACCTACTGCCAGTTTTTAGAAGACACTTTCTTCAAGCAGTGGTACAGGAAAAAGTCTGCATCTTTCAAGAAGACCATGATTTTTTAAGCAGGACAATGCTCCATCGCATGCATCGAAGTACTCCACTGCATGGCTAGCCAGTAAAGACCTTAAAGATGAATGAATAATGACATGGCCCCCTTCCTCACCTGATCTAAACCCTATTGAGAACTTGTGGGCCCTTCTTAAATGGGAGATTTACGGTGAAGGAAAACAGTACACCTCTCTGAACAGTGTCTGTGAAGCTGTGGTTGCTGCTGCACAAAAAGTTGATCGTCAACAGATCAAGAAACTGACAGACTCCATGAATGGAAGGCTTATGACTGTTGTTGGGTGGCTATATTGGTCACTGATTTTTTTTATTTTTTTTTTTATGTCAGAAATGTTTATTTGTAAATTGAGTTGATTGTTTATTATTTTCACTTTTACAGATGAAAATAAACAAGTGAGATGGGAAAATGTTCGTTTTTCATTTAGTTGATTAATAATTCTGCACACTAATAGTTGCTCAATAATTGTCCACATAGATATTCTCCTAAGAAAGCCAAAACCTCACTTTTACTTTATTAAATATTCAGGTTTGAGGTTTATTAACATTTTGGATTGAGCGAGAGCACTGTAGTTGTTCAATAATAAAATTAATCCTCAAAAATACAACTTGCCTAATAATTGTGCACACGGTGTAGACCCTAGAAATTTGCATATTAAATATTATACAGTAGGACAGTGGTTCTCAAACCTCTCCACGAAGTACCCCCAGCACTGCACATTTTGTATGTCTCTCTATATCTGATACACCCACTTCAGGTCTTGCAGTCTCCACTAATGAGCTGATGAGTTGAATCAGGTGTGATAGATAATGTATTCAGAAACTGACATTATACTTATTGTTCAACAGAATTTTACAAAGAATGTTTAGTTTAATTTATGCGAGAATAAATGTTTTTAAAAACGTAATTAAAAAATTTAAACCATTCTTTTTTCAGATAATTTATACCCCCAAAGGGGCGACATTTACAGACAGATTATGAAAAATATAAAAATTAAATTAATAAAATTCCAATATAAACGTAATTAGCTAATGCGTAACAACAACTTTTTAAACATGCAAGTCCCATCAAAATATTGAAAATATGTGAAATATATCAACTTTTATCTGAAGGTTAGTAGATTTCCCTCTACCGGTGATCATGTTGTTTTTAAATGCTGTCCGTGAGCTAACCAAAGAATGTTTTAATAAAGTGACCAGATCTAAATATTCACAACAAACATGAAACCAAGAAATGAGACCTACACTCTCCCCACAGCCTCTCAAATGTTTGTATCCCCCAGGAAAGGGCCCTTTTTAGGGTTAAGTATATGTTTAATGCATTTCAATTTTGCCATCTTTCCATGAATCGTATAAGTGATCATTAAGAAAATACATCTTTTGTATTTATTCAGAAGGTGTTCTCATTTATGTTCGCACTGTACATTTCATTATAATACATCATCAGACAATTTTTGCCAGACATATTTGGAAGTCAAATGTACTACTGGCTATGTTTACATGCAACCAAATAATCCGTTTGTAATCGGATTGACGGCTCAATCGGACTGAAAAGCCTTCATGTAAACACCTTAATCGATCCGATTGAGCTCGATCGGAATGAAATTTCAATCGGATTGAAGGGGGTGGTTTATTCCTTTTGAGAGTGCATGTAAACACTCGATCGGATTGAACCCCGAAACTGAAAGGACTGCGCATGTGCAATGATGCAGAAATACATATGACGTGCAGAATGAGCGGTTCTTCCTTTTGAATAAAGTGTTGTATAAATGCATGTCCTGTCATTATAAAACTCTCCTTTCACTCGGCAACTGTGAAGTGGAGCAGAACAACCACCCACCAGTCCTTGTTTTGGATTTTCATCCACAGGCAACCCGTTTTGGGCGCAGGGAGGGGCATTTTTACTGCGTTATAAATATGAGGAGCACGGCACAGCGGTTTATATGTATATTTATCCATAAATGGATACATATTAATTCTGCGGTTAAAAACAAACAAAGAAACCGTGTAGGAGAATGGTTATTATGTGCAAATAGTGAGAAACTCTATATTTGTGCAGTGTGCGCATGTAAAAAAAAACGATTGAAACAAAAATTGTGCATGTTAACGTAGCCACTGTGACATCATGGAGCGTCGTGAGGTTTTGTTTTGACAAAGACCTCTCTGTTTAGTGCTACAGCATACCTTGATAGTAAGCAGTGTTGGATTGTGGCCAGGGCCTCCCCCAGTGTTTTCTGGGTTAAACTCTGAATCAGGCTGGCACATAAAGCTTGGTTTTAGCAAGTAGCCACAGCGGCCGTTTGGTAAAAAACGGCCTCTGTTTAGGTCCATCTCTTCACATTGGGTTTGGAAGTTCAATGCCACTGAAAAAATAATTTCATTATTTGTCAGTTGTTTATAAATGTGAACTACACAGTCATTTGCATGTTTTCTTTGCTTAAATGTTTACCCATCTGACAACCAGCATTCCACATGTCTTGAGGGTTGTAGTTGGAGGATTGCACACGCTGACCAGATGGGTAGATCCTGCTCAGTTGCATGCTGTTGTGACGTACAAACAACTTCCCTATAAAAAAAAGAAAGAGCCATTTTGGACCCATTCAAACAAACAAACAAAAAAAATAAGAGAAAATATTTATCTTTGATTTACTGTTAAAGTTACATTTGTTTTTACTGTAGACGTGATGTTTTACTTGTAGATGTTATGTGTGGAAAAACAATCAAGGCAAATATCATTTCTGTATACACATCTTTGTCATTTCCATCGAATTATGCAACAAACATATTTAATTGTGTGTCGTTAAAGATACATAAAATAATACATAACATGACAAAAGATTAAGTTATTTTATTCCAAAATTGTTTTAATTATATCTTCATTGCAGAATGTTAATAAACACAATATATCATTTGAGATGTGGAAGAGATTACTCTGTGAGATAGAAATGTTTTAAAATACTTTTTTTGAAAGTCCACAGGGAAGAAAGTATCTGTAGACTGAATAAACACACTCCCAAACATGCACTTGCATATAGTACCTGATTCTTTGATTAGTTTCAACGCATCACTCTCAGAGAACGAGGATATTTCATTGGGAGGTTTCTTGGCACATGGATCAAACTGTTTGAAAGCAACACTGTGGGTATACACCACCAGATCAGACAGCTCTGGACTCAATTTGCAGTCCCTCTGAGGAAAAGCAAAAGCAAAAAAAAAAACTTAGTGATCTAAAAATACAAAAGTGAGGATGATGATGCTGATGATGATGATGCTGATGATGATATGAAATGAGTAGTGATAGCATGTGAAGCAAAGTGAAGTGACGTGAAAGCCAAGTATGGTAACCCATACTCGGAATTTGTCCTCTGCATTTAACCCATCCAAGTTAGTGCACACACATTAGGAGCAGTGAGTATTGAGCACATGCACACACCGTGGGCACACACTCGCAGCAGGGGGGCAGCCATTATTGCTGCAGCACCTGGGGAGCAATTGGAGGTTAGATGCCTTGCTCAAGGCCACCTCAGTTGTGGGTATTGGGTGTGGAAAAAAGCGCTGTTCATTCACCCCCTCATGTATACAAACATACATATCAGTGATTCTTAACCAAGTTCCTGGAGCCCTCAAACACTGCACATTTTGCATTTCAGGTCTTTGAGTCTCTACTAATAAGCTGATGACCTGAATCAGGTGTGTTTGATTAAGGAGACATGCAAAATGTGCAGTGTTGGGGGACTCCAAGAACATGGCTGAGAACCACTGATGTATAGTTCAAAAGTTGGGGTCAGTAAGAAAATGGACTATTATAGAAACTATTTTGTGTCACACACAAACACACACACACACAATATATATTTCAAATAAATGGTTTTGAATGTCAATAAAATTAGTTTGAACTTTCCATTCATCAAATAATTCTGGAAAAATGTATCACTGTTTCCACAAAAATATTAGGCAGCACAGCTGTTTTCAACATTATTAATAATAAGAAATGTTTCTTGAGCAACAAATCAGGATCATGTGACATTGAAGACTGAAGTAATGGCTTCTGAAAATTCAGCTTTGCTATCAAAGGAATAAATTAATATAAATGAGCAAATTAATAAGTTAATTAATTAAAATAAATTTAAATATAATAAAACAACTAGAAATAGAACAGTACATAATGCAGGATAGAAAGTAATGTTAAATATTATATTATATTATATTAATTATATTTATTATATTAATTTATATTATATTATTGTCACAGGCTCACCAGGCTCCCCAAGCACAATCACACAACGCTCCTCTCTGACAACCCTTCACTCTGAGTGTTCATCCTGATTAACAGGGACTCCCTGCTAATCCCATCCTTACCTGAAGTGTGTGCTGCTCAGGTCACGCTCCATCCATCTATCCACTCTGGTGATCATATCTTAAAGGATCCGTTCACCACTAGAATAAAAATTTCCTATTAAGTTACTCACCCCCATGTCATCCAAGATGTTTATGTCTTTCTGTCTTCAGTCGCAAAGAATTTAGGGTTTTTGAGGAAAACATTCCGGGATTTTTCTCCATATAATGGACTTCTATGGTGCCCAATGGTTTGAACATCCAAATTGCAGTTTCAATGCAGCTTCAAAGGGCTATACATGATCCCAGCCGAGGAATAAGGGTATTATCTAGTGAAACGATCTGTCATTTTCTAAAAAAATAAAATAACATTTTATATACTTTTTAACCACAAATGGCAGGGACGTCTAAATTGTAGAATCTGGCAAAAGTGGACGGCGACGACCTGCCGGCGGCCGCACAAATCTCACTTATAGAAATTCCACTGGACCACGCCCAGGAGGAGGCCATTCCTCTGGTGGAGTGGGCCCTCAACCCTATGGAGCATTGCAAGCCTTCTGAGGTATAAGCCAAGGCTATAGCATCTACTATCCAGCGGGAAAGTCTCTGCTTCGTAACCGGCAGCCCTTTACAGACAAAGCCCTTTACAGACTCCGAAGCAGACAAACAGCTGCTCTGATTGTCTGAAAAGACCAGAGCGCTCAATGTACACTCTAAGGACCTTCACTGGGCAGAGTGGATTGGGACCCTGCTCGCCGTCTGCAGTGTGGAGCGCTAGAAGGGTAATAACCTGGGCCATGTCTTGGCTTGAGGACGACCTTACAATCGTTATGCCCAAACTCCAGACAGGAAGCACTGACTGAGAGTGCCTGCAAGTCACCCACTCGCTTGACCGACACTAATGCCAAATTGAGGACAGTCTTAAGCAACATGGGTCGCAAGTCAGCCGAATGGAGCAGTTCGAAAGGTCTATGGATAAGTCCCAGGTCGGTATGGTGTGAGGGCGAGCAGGATTCAATCTCCGGGCACCCTTCAAGAACTTAACGACCAAGTCGTTTCTGCCGACTGACTGGCCATCTTTGAGGGAATGATTCGTCACAAGATACCGGGTCCAGGCTTCGTGCTGCACACCAGTCACTGAAGACTGACCATTTAAGAGCATAGAGCCGTCTCGTAGATGATTCTCTAGCCTCCAAAATGGTGTTGCTCACTCTCACTGGGAGCCGCAAAGGCTCCCGTCGAGGCTCCAGACATGAAGGCTCCATAGCTCCGGCTGGGGGTGCCAAATCATGCCCTTCGCCTGTGAAAGAAGATCCCTTTGTAACGGTATCGGCCACGGGGCAGCTGCTGACAGCTGCGTTAACTAGGACGACCAAGTTTGGTTCCTTCAAAATGGGGCCACCAGGAGGATTGAGCAACCGACTTCTCTGACCCGTCTGATGACCTGAGGAAGCAAGGCAATCGGGGGGAAGGCGTATAGGCGAGAGCTGGGCCATTCGTGGGGCCATCTTGCTGAATGGAGAAATAGATTGGGCAGTGAGAGTTGTCTTCTTAGGCGAAGAGGTCGACCTCTGCCCTCCCGAAGACAGACCAGATTTTCTGAACGTCAGAGGATGTAGTGTCCATTCTCCCGGAGCCACATTGCCTCTGGAGAGCGCGTCTGCGCCAAGGTTCAGACTGCCCAGCACATGAACTGCTCTGATAGAGAGGAGTCTGCTCTGTGCCCAAAGCAGGAGGCGTCGAGCCATCCTGTAAAGGGAGCGTGACCTGAGACCGCCTTGGTGGTTTATATAGGCTACCACTGTCATGTTGTCCGATCGGACCAGGACGTGGTGCCCCTTTAAGGCTGGCAGGAATGTTTTCAGGGCCAGAAAAACCACCATCATTTCGAGGCAGTTGATGTGAAGGCGACGCTCATGGGTCGACCAGGAGCCAGATTCCGGACAGCCCTCTAACAGAGCGCCCCAACCCATGTTGGAGGCGTCTGTAGTAACTACTTTCCTCCTGGAGGTCAGTCCCAACTGAACGCCTGGTTGAAACAGGCGAGAAGTCGTCCAAGGGACCACAGCCTTGATACAGCGATGGGTTATCCTGACATAAAACCGGCCCAGGCGCCAGGTGTGGGACGGGACATGGGTTTTGAGCCAATATTGGACAGGCCGCATGTGAAGCAGGCCTTGAGGAATCACAGAGGAGGCGGCCGCCATTAGGCTAAGCATCCTCTGGAAAGTCCTGAGGGGATGCAAAGTCCCCGGCTTGAAAGATGCCGCCAGTCGCTGAATAGTCAGGGACCGTTCTGGTGTAAGCCATGCCCGCATTCGGGCCGAGTCTATAACAGTCCCCAGAAAGACCGCTCGCTGTCTGGGGAACAACTGACTCTTGTGTGGGTTGATTTTCAACCCGAGGCACTCCAGATGGCTGATCAGCAGCGATCTGTGTGTGATTAGTTCCCATTCTGATCGGGCTGAAACCAGCCAATTGTCGAGGTAATTGAGAATTTGGATTCCCATCTGTCTCAGAGGGGAAAGAGCCACGTCGATGCACTTCGTAAATGTGCGAGGGGCCAGAGACAGTCCAAATGGTAGGACTGTGTACTGATAGGCCACTCCCTCGAACACAAATCTCAAGAACGGTCTGTGGCAGGGGGTTATGTGGATGTGAAAGTACAAACCTGCACGAGGATCTGTTTCAAAGTTAACATTCTGAATGGCCGTCTCATAAGAGAGCGATTCAGAAGTCTGAGATCTAGAATTGGTCTCAACCTGCCATCTTATTTCGGCACGAGGAAGTAGTGGCTGAAAAAGCCTGACTCGCTGTTCGCTAGAGGTATTGTTTCCACGGCACCTTTTACAAGAAATGTTTGTACTTCGGACCGGAGAACGTGAGCCCTGTTGTCCAGGACCGAAGTGTGAATAATGCCTCTGAATGGAGGCAGCCTGCAAGCAAACTGAAGCGAGTAACCTCGTTTTACTGTGTTTAGAACCCGATCTGACACATCGGAATGGCTGCCCAGGCCATGAACCGAGTGGCAAGAGGCTCTAATTTTACGAGTGGAAATTCGCCGTGTGTGGGCGGGGAATTTGCATTCGTCAGTGTGAGGAGAGGAGAAATGCTCTTTTGAATATGTGGGTCTGCTATCACAGTGGTAGGGTGTTTGGGCATGCACTGATTTTGCAGGACATGTCCAGGTTGAAAAATGTCTCCATCTCTCAGATGTGCTCGGAGGGATGGAGAATGAGCACAAGCTTTTTTCGAGGGAGTTCCGGCCGAGGCGAGAACTGGCCCTCTCCTCTTCCTCTCTGCAGGCAGATCAGGACGGCTTCTGCGGCTCAAGGGCGGGGCCCTTGGCACTTTGGAAATGCGTAGCATTTAGTCGTCCGGAAGCGCTGCTCGAGCCCAGGCTCAGACTTCTGCCGAGGCTGATGCGGCGCCGGCTTAGCAGGCTGCTGAGTGGAAGGAGTCTTCTGGCAGCTTGGGGCCTCAGCGCTGGAGTGCTTAGGCAGGAAGTGACACAGCGCTTGTGACGTCTTCTGTGCCTCCGTAAAACGCTCAGCAAACCCGTCCATGGCTGGGCCGAATAGCCCTTTCGGCGAGTCACGTCTTGGTCAGTTCTTCATGAACTGCAGGCAAGAATGGAGTGGGCCGCTGGTGCGAAGATCGCTGACAGCGTCCTTTCAGGAACCCCTCATCGAGTAGGCCATCGGCGGGCTCAACCAGGACCGACCCCTCCAAGCCGATATCCTCCACCGCCTTAGAAAGAAAGCGGATCAGCTCGCTGTCCGCGTTCGGCTGTGCTGAGCGAGAAGAGGACAGGTCGTGATCTTCGCCGGAACACTCCCACTCTTCTGTATCCGATGCCGTCAAAGACATAGAGTCAATCTCTTCCTCCGAAGCGCCGAAGGAAATCAAGCCGCTCACAGCAGAAGAGGGGCATTGATCTTCCTGCGTGAAGAACACCGGTGACTCGGTGAGGCGTGGGGAGGGCGGGGCACGCGGGCGCTGAGCCGACGTGACATCGCTCGAACCCGCTGTCAGAATCCCGCTGCTCTGCTGTTTCTTTTTCTACGGGGAGAGATGAAACGGGAGAGCAGAGCGGGGAGGACCGCCTTCGTTAAAGACCACCTTTGCTCTTTTTTCAAGCCGGATAGCCGCAGGGAAAGGCGTCCGCGCCGCTTCTTCCACTGCCGGGGCTTCTTTCGACGGCGGCGAGCAGAGAGAGCTTATTTTCCTTCTTCGGCTTCTTCCGTCCAGTGTCAGCGAAGAGATGACCCTCGTCGCCGAATATATATATATTAGGGGTGAAACGGTACATGTATTCATCCCGAACCATCACGGTACGGATGTCACAGTTCGGTTCATGCAGTCAGATGACGAATACAGTCAGTCATAGGTGATCAATCCAGAAGGGGGCGCTTGTAGTAATGCAAAGCTAACCGTCACAACAGGAAAGAGCAGAAGAAGAATGGCAAGTTCAGACGCCACGCAAGAGCTCGAAGAACCACCTGCTTGTTTTAAATCAGCAGTGTGGGAAAGTTTGGGGTTCTAGAGATGCACTGTTCGACTGGCTGTAAATCGGAACCAGTTTTTAGTTTTATTTTGGCCGATCTCTATTCCAGAATTGCACACAAACTGCATTGCCATCATTTCCCCAAATGTAATTTGTGTGGATTTTTTATGAAGTCTGTAAAGAGGAGAAAGTACTGTACCAGGCAGATCAAGCTCACTGTTTGCGATGCTTGAAATACAGGAAGACAAATATGTGGGGGTTTATATGAATGTATCTCTGAGAGGAACTGACCGTCTTCAGAAATGTTTCGCGGGGAGGGCGGGGCACGCGGGCGCTGAGCCGACGTGACATCGCTCGAACCCGCTGTCAGAATCCCGCTGCTCTGCTGTTTCTTTTTCTACGGGGAGAGATGAAACGGGAGAGCAGAGCGGGGAGGACCGCCTTCGTTAAAGACCACCTTTGCTCTTTTTTCAAGCCGGATAGCCGCAGGGAAAGGCGTCCGCGCCGCTTCTTCCACTGCCGGGGCTTCTTTCGACGGCGGCGAGCAGAGAGAGCTTATTTTCCTTCTTCGGCTTCTTCCGTCCAGTGTCAGCGAAGAGATGACCCTCGTCGCCGAAGGAGAATATTCTGATAAAATGGCGCTCTGAGCTGACTTATATAGGGATCTGCTCCTTCCATTCTGGTGGGCTAGAGCTCCATTGGTTTGTACAGCTACACAAACGTGAACAAATCAGGCTTTAGTATCAGGGTAAACAGGAGTTTCCCCATACACAATGTGAGAGAACATTCGAAAGGGAACTCAATCTCATTTTCTCCTCCAACTTCAAAATCGTCCAACATTGTTGTCTTACCTTTTTTTGTAAAGGGCATTTTACTTTCGCCAATGTCACACGTGACCTTTCCAACGTGACTACGTAATGCGTGAGGTCGGGCTGGTGCAAGAGGAGCATTTGTGGTTAA